TTTAACCCAAATGCCGAAGCTAATGCGTTCTTAGTAGCACTGCTCTAAATGGACCGAGACATGACACCGTGAATTTTGGCTAGAGATTTGGACGTATGGGAGCACGCTATGATTACACTTGACTTTTTCTTTTGCTGGATGGAGATATCCCTGTATCAGAATGAACTGATCTGTCGCTTTTGCCTTGTGGTCTAATATAATACAACACGCTGGTGCTTATTCCCATTCCTTCGGTCCCAACGTCAGCCCCAACCCAACCCGTAAAGGTAAGCCCATGCCATGACTGCCGCGCAATGTCGGCAGATGCGGGCGTATATAACCCAACTCCCAGTAGCGTAATCGGAAGTGTCGGGGTAAGATAAGCGCGCTGGGATCCGATTTCTCACATTCACTTCGAGTCCGAGACATCCTTTCTCTTGGAGACCTCCCACTCCGCGCGGGTGACCTCGCCGCGAGTGTAGATGTCGCTGACATTGGTCCAGAAGTGCACACGGCTCTCAAAATGGTGCTGCGCGATGGCGGCGATCTCTTTTATGGTGTCGATGACGCTTGCGTCGAAGACGCTCGAGCTGCGCAGGCTGAAGAACAGGTCGCAGTTGTTGGGGTCGGCGGGGATGCGCGGGTTGTTGGTGAGCACGAAGTGGACGAAGCGCTTGTCGAGGAATTTGGGGAAATCGGCGTCGCTTGGGAGGATGAGAAGACGGGGTTCTTCGTCGTTTTTATAGACGGCGACAACGTCGTCGAGAAACTCGGCGTAGCGGAGTTTGTTCTCGGGGGTAGGGGAGAGGGCGGGGAAGATGTCGAAGCCGCACTCAAAAGACATGATGAGGATGTGGTTATTGAGGTGAACGAGTGTGTTTATGAAATTAAGATGGAAGAGATGTTGCGATTGAGGGTCGAGATGGAGCTGAGGGAGATGGATGTTGATGGCCGAGGTTGAGCATCAATTCTTTGCGCTCCTGCCTGGCGCTGGCAACTGCGAAGCTGTTTGCTCCAGCATTTATGCACACTCTGCCTTTAGTTTCGAGGCTTAAACAAACATCTCGTTCATTTGATCAAACTCGCGACACTTTGATCTACAAATCTTGTTGCAAAAGATGAACCATAAATTTAACACCTTGAACAAGCTTTCGCATCTTCACAGGACCAGAACAAGACTCAGCGGCCTACATGTGTATCAAGTCAGTGCAATGGCGGAGCTAACCACCATTTTTGCTTGCCTTACTTGCGAATCCTGTGTTGTGTTAAAGTAATCCGCCTTCTTTTTGTTTGCTGGTGAATGACAGCAAATGAAGTTATCACGAAGTGTGTGGATCCCAACTTGGGGCTGCTTGCGAGGTGCACAAACGTATAAACGCACATTCGCAAAGACAGTGGAGGCAAGTCTGATAGAAATGGACGGAGTATTTCTTGAAGTCCACAGGATAAGTAGAGGCTCTTTCTCCATTATTGCAACTTCGCAAGCAATTGCGCCACGACCAAATTTCGGCTCAAATATAGCGATCAATACATCAGCATACATCTTTTACAGGATAAATGGCTAAGTAGATGTGAGATACCGTAATCGAAGCGTTCCCTCCCTCCCTCAATGGACCCGGCCTGCTCCACTAATCAACGGGAGTTCTTGAGTAAGGTAAGGTAAGCTGCAGCTGGATCATCTTGTAGCCTGTGAGTGTGGCTTGTATAGAAACTAGACGGATTGTTGTCGGGTGGCTCTAACGTATGGAACGTGTTGGCAGGATGAAGTCAACAGTAGCACACAACTTTGCTGACACCTCAATGCTACCGACCAGCATCCTTCAGGATCCATGAGCTTAGCCTGAGCGTTACGTCCAAGTCTTAATGATGAAGTCTCGGCTATTTCGTGTAAACAAATATAGGCTTTGACCCCAGGTGCATGCCCGAGCAAGGGGTTCATGCACAGCTTCCCATACCTGTATCTTTAGAGATGTCTTGCTGGGGATCAGCACGGTGATGCTCGGAATTGTGGGGGTTACAGTTGAATACATATTTGACTGATTTAGTTGAGTTTATGTGGATTCAAAGTATTATGCAATTGGGTCTCCTGCATCTCGGACTGGGAAACCATGTTGTAGTGTACGAGTTCTCGCTCTACGCTCCATCTAACGGGACCGTGAGTCTCAGTTCAGAATGGCGTCGACGCCAAGAAGAAGTACGATACTAAGATATCTCGACAACATCAGTTGGTCCCCTCGGGTAAGTAGAGTACTGGTAAAGCACGGTGGAGCTCCAAGAGCACCCCGTCAGGAGTTGCGGTCTCTGTTAACTGGTTTAGTATTGGACGTCAATGGATATGTGAAACACTATACCAACGTAGTAAATTGACATCGTCTAAGGTAAGACTAAGGTCCATCTGTAGCTTGCTATCGTTAGAAGTCTTGAAGGTCAAATTACAAGTTACCGCTTTGTCGGAATATTGATGGAGATGGGGACTTGTGATCAACGGCAACTGAGACATATTTCATGTGTACATGTAGACAACAAGACTACTAGCCAAGCAGAGCTAGAGGTCCAAATTCCACGACGTTATTTTCATCCAGCTCTTCCACCACTGTCTCCATCGCTGTAACCTTAAAGTCCATACTCCTGCATAACTTCCTGACCTCCGCCTCCGCCTCCTTCACATCTGCAAGCGTATAGTATCCCCACTGCTTATTACACCTCATTCTGTGCATCCCATTCCAATACCTAACCCTCTCGCCAAAATACTCCTTCGCAATAACGAATACCTCGAGGACATGAGAAACAGCTACTTCTCGTGGTAAGCCGCCGTTTCCGAAGCTGAGGCAGAAACTCAGGAAGAAGTTGCAGTGTTCAGGATTGGCGGGGATTTTGGGATACTTGGGGAGCGTGAAGTAGTAGAAGGCTGTGTCAGCGTCGGTTATAAGGAGCGGTTTGGATGTGGAGGGATGGGTTCGTGACGAGAATGTTGTTCTGAGGCGGGCGAGGAAGAGGGCGTAGAGGGATTGGTAGGATGGTGTTGGGGGGAGAGGAGGGTAGATGCTGAAGCCGCATTCAAACTCGACGGTCATTTTGGTAGCTGGGATTATGTTGTTAGTTATACTGCTGATGTCTATAAGTAGAACGCTTACTGGTTTCGCTGTAACCGCGACGGCCAACGGCTGTACTTCAAGCTGTAGATGGAGACTCGATGGACGAGACGGAACAGGGGGTCACTGGCATCGCAAACTAGAAGGATCCCAGGACTTATAGAACAACTTTCGAGGTTACTGTTTTCGACATTGTCTGTCTGTATAACGTGATGTGCCCGCTGTCAGGTTATTGCAAAGCCTACCTCCGCATTCGAGGCTGTTGTCAACCCACGATGTTCTTTGTTCAGCCAAGACGACCATGTGACTTCTTTGAGGTCAGTTGGACATCTCTCACAGCAAAAAAGCAGTGTAATTACAAGTACATATGTAAGGAACCCCGCATTGTGGTTTTTTGACTTGTTGCGTGATCGTGACAGAGTTCGTGAAACAAACTTAACATAGCAACAAGCCCATCCACCATATTAATTTTAAGCCTCCCGACAGTCCAGCCATTGACATCGCAACGCAACACGTAATGAAAAGCTTCCCCCTTCTATGCCACCTAATAAGCCCTAGGAAGCACCATCGCTCTCCAAATCTGGACGGGTCGGCCGAAAAAGCCTTGATACGTCCATCATCTCATGTGGCCGACAATTTCTCGAGCTATGCCCTCGAAGGTCCAAACGTAAAGATGAGGCTTGATGTACTCTTTACCTACGGGAGGACTGTGGATGGGGTCAAAACTGCGAGGGTCAAGTGACAGGAGGGTTCCAGAGGGTGTCATGAAGTTCTAGGCTTGAGGAGGACTCTTCTGCCGGCCGTGTCGACTACTATTTCCAAGTTCTGTGTGAAAAGATCGGTATATTTGATGATGCAATGCGCATCTAAAAGAGGCTATAGGAGAAGTTGCAGGGTGTTGAACCTAATACTACGGCGTCGGGGCCTGCGGGGGAGGTGAGTTGGAGTATGTGTGCTCCTTCGTTGTTTGCCGCGCCCGTAACAAGAGTCTTGAAGCTCAGGTTGTCCTTTGCCCATGGTGCTGTCTCTAGAAGACTTGCATTCAGGGGAGAAAATGCCATACCGTGGAGCCACTCAAAGGACAGCTACACTCTTGGCCCACGATAGCTTCCTCGGTTTGGGGGCAACTTCATGTTCGAGAGCAACAGCTACTGCACCTACGAGTGGTACCCACCAGAGCATAGACCTCAGCTCTGGACTCAAGTTTCGGGCCCCCTTCAACACACGAGCAAAATTCGGGAGGAATCGTCTCGCTCCAGGTTGATTCATCCGATGTAACAGTAGAAGCATGTATCCTAACAAGACCATTTATTCCCGGAAAGGGTACATCTTTGTTTAGCGTCAGCGAAAACGGTGGAGGCGAAATACCCAGACCTCGGTCTTGGAAGACCTGATACGTATTGCGTGCATTAGATCAGATCAGATGACGTTTTAATCTGATAAGATCATCTCGGTGAGCGATTTTCACGGACCCGTTGTTATGAGAAAAGCAGCCAATTAGACATGTAAGCGATGACAGGTTAAAATCAAGGGTCCCCACGAGTTCAGGGCCGGTGCCGGACATGACGATGCCGAGGTTGTACTGTAAATGTTATACAATAATCTCAGGCACGAGCATGCTTTGTAACTAATTGTATTGTGTAGATCTTTGAAGGGTTAAAAAAGATACACGTGTAAAGGACCTATCAGTAAATGCCATATCAAACTGCATGCATTTGCCTCGCAGGGCATCTCAACGACATTGGACGGTTCTTCACCCCACCATCAAGCCCCGAATTTGGTGATAGGCACATCTAGCCCACTTGAGTGAGTGGCTCCCGCATGGACGCGGCCCAAATCAAGACGAGGCCCATGGTTATATAAGTACCTTACCTACCCAATTCGCTGCCACAAAAAAACCTGTTCTGATCACACAGAATTTACCGCAGCATGACTCTTTTCATTAATGGCAAGATCCTCTCGAGGACTGTCGCCAGTTTGGCCGACGAACCCACCTTTGCTGAGAGCATGTACATAAAAGACGGCATCATTCAAGCCGTCGGCACAAAGGATGATGTGCAGGCCAAAGTCACGGGGGATGATGTTGTCACGCAGGATCTCGGCGGGAAGACGGTTCTGCCGGGGTTTGTAGATGGGCATATGCATCTTTTGCTACTGGGCCAGTCGTTGAGAAAGATTGCGCTGGAGGGGTGTAAGAATCTGGAGGATATTCTTCACGAGCTGCGCACGTATGCAAAGGCGAATCCGGATGTCCCGCGGATCATGGCCAAGGGGTGGATGCACTCTATGACGCCAGATGGCGTGACGGCCAAGATTCTGGATGAGATTGACGAGAGGCCGATTTATGTTGATACAAAGGACATGCACTCGACATGGTGCAACTCAGCGGGCTTGAAGGAGATGAAAGTCGCTGATCTGGAGGATCCGCCGGGCGGTATCATCGAGAGGGATGAGAACGGTAAACCATCCGGTGTTCTTAGCGAAGCGTCCATTCTGTCGATTGTCTGGCCGACACTTGCGCAGCTTGCGTCGAATGAGGAGCGGATTGAGTGTATGCTCGCTGCGTTCAAAGCGTACCATGCATCAGGATACACGGGGATCATCGAGATGGCGATGGATGAGTACAGCTGGGAGAGTCTCGTTGAGCTGAAGAGCAGACATCCCGACGTGGCGATGCGTGTAACAGCGTATTGGATCGTCAAGCCTGCTGATACAGTTGAAGAGCGCACACGACAAGTCGACAGGGCGATCGAACTTGCGAAGCAGTATAGTCTCGAGACATCGCCTGACCTTCGCATCGCGGGCATCAAGATCATCTGCGACGGCATCATCGACGCCTGCACGGCATACCTCTCAGAACCATACTCCTCAGTCGCATCACCGCCCCCGTTCTGGTCAAGAGAGGATCTTGAACCTGTTGTCAAACAGGCCGCCGATGCAGGAATCCAAATAGCCCTTCATGCCATCGGTGACGCGGCGATCCATATGGCGGTCGACATGCTCGAGAAGTACGGCAAGCCAGGTTCCCGACACCGAATCGAACATCTCGAGGTCTCATCCCCCGAAGACGCAAAACGTCTCGGCAAACTAGGCCTCACAGCATCCATCCAGCCCGTCCACGCCGACCCAGCCATCCTGCGCGCATGGCCACGTCTCATCGGCGAACGTCGCGACCGCGCCTTCGCATACCGTGAATTCGCCGACTCAGGCGCCCTCCTCGCCCTCGGCAGCGACAGTCCCACGGCGCCTTGGAACCCTCTACACAACGTGTACGTAGCAGCGACACGACGCTCGGCGAGGGAGCCGGAGTGTGAGGAGGTGGTGAATGAGCATTTCAAGCTGGGAGTCTGCGAGGCTGTTGTTGCGGGATCGCAGGGCGCGGCCAAGAGTGTTTTTCAGGATGGGAGGGTTGGGTCGTTGGAGGTGGGTAAGTTTGCGGATCTGGTTGTGGCGGATATGGAGTGGGATAGTAGGACGTTGTTGAAGGCGGAGATTAGGGAGACGTGGTTTGCTGGGAAGAGGGTTTGGAGTCTTGGGGGTTGATTGATGGGTTGGGAGCGTGGTGTTGGTGGGTTGAAGTTGAGGTTTGGGATGGAATGGGAGTACAAAATGAGATAGACAATGCAATGGGTGATCTTTGAGACTGTTTGGCGAATTGAGTACGGTGAGAGCTGACCCTCTAGCTACCTGTTCCCGTCATGTTACATCGAATATTGATGTAAATGTCCAATGTTCAATGTTCAACTATGTTCACGCATCTTCTCCCCATCTCCATCTCAGATCCAACACCATTCTCTCACTTCCTCAGTCAATGACGCACTCACCTTATCCCTATCACCACAATCATCTGCCCACTTCCTCGTCTATCAGATATACAACACGTCAAGTTTATCTCTCTTCCCACGATATCTCCAAACCTAACATCCTATCTCCTCTCGCTCCCAATTCTAGCCTCCGCTTTCTCCACCGCCCTCTTTTTTTCCGCGGGAAAACATCTCCCATCCCAGCCAACGCCAACTCCATCAGCTCATTCCCCCGCATCCCAGTTTTCTTTTAGTTAACCTACCTATCTCAGAACAGTGGATGCACTGAGGAACACCCCCTGGCTAGCGGTATCTCAGTACCTCCACTCAACTTATCGCAACTCCACTGATACCCCGGATCATGAATCGTATAATCGCCCCCGGGTTCAAAAAGGGCGCTGCGTCGCTGCTGTTTCCGCTCAGCAGGACGAGACCCATCTCCTCTCTGATCACAAATTGCAATATTCATCATGGCGGACACAAAGAACGACATCGAGGTGGACAAGAAGATCATCCCCCTTGACCACGACGACGTCGAGGCTGATATCAAGAACGGCACCGTCACTGACCTCGACGAGGCAGAGTTGTTCCTCCAGCAACATGGCATTGCTCACTCCCGCCTCAGCGAGCTCATGGCCGATGAAGATGCCCTCAAGAAACTCCGCAAGAAAGTCGACTGGTCTCTCATGCCGCTCCTATGCGGAACATATCTCCTCCAATATGTCGATAAGCAAGCCCTCGGCTACTCAGCTGTTTTCGATCTCTTCTCGACAACTGGCATGACCTCAGATGAATACTCCTGGATGGCGTCCATCTTTTACTTTGCGTACCTTGTCGCAGAGTGGCCTGCCTCGTACCTCGCGCAGCGTCTACCAACAGGCACCATCGTCAGCACGTTCGTCATCACCTGGGGCTCTATTCTCTGCCTCACAGCCGCTTGCCAGAACTTCGCTGGTCTAGCAGTCTGTCGATTCCTCCTCGGCGCCTTTGAAGCTGTCATCACACCTGCGTTTATGCTCATCGTCTCGCAATGGTTTCGTCGTGAGACACAGCCTGCGCGCGCAGGTCTGTTCTACTGCTTCAACGGCTTCGGCGCCATGTTTGGCGGTATTCTATTCTACGGCGTCGGCCAGGCAAAGGGGTGGGATGTCTGGCGGACCATCTACGTGCTCTGCGGTGGACTGACGATCTGCTGGGGTGTAATCCTATTCTTCTTTCTTCCCAACAACATCCTCACTGCGAAGAGATTCAGTGTTGAGGAGCGTGCAATGCTGATTGCCCAGAGCGCGAGGAACAAGACGGGTGTGTTTAACAGGAAGATCAAGTGGAATCAGATCAGGGAGGTCTTTGTGGACTCGCAGATCTGGTTGTTGTTCTTCTTTACGCTGTTGAACGAGGTCATCAACGGAGGTATCGCGAACTTCTCCAAGTTGATCGTCAAGGGCTTCACGCATGATGCGCTGTTGACGACGGCGTATGGTATTCCATACGGTGCTTGCAACGCCATCTTTATGTTTACGGGACCGTATGTGGCGTCCAAGTTCAAGAACGTGAGGACGATCGTCATGTGTGTTTGGCTTCTGCCCACGCTTATTGCTGTCACCTTGTTCTGGCAACTTCCTCGCTCCAACAAGGGCGGTCTCCTCGCTGGTTACTACATGGTATGTCCCCAACCCCTCTCGATCTGGACCTTTCTAACTGTTTAGTGCGCTTCCTTCGTTGGTGCCCTCATCGTCGCTCTTCAAATGCCCGCCTCAAACGTCGGCGGCTACACGAAGCGAACCACCGCCACAGCCTTCGTATTCCTCGCATACTGCATCGGCAACATCATCGGTCCCCACGGCTTCATTGGTTCCGAAGCACCAATCTACCAAACTGGCTGCAAGCTTATCATAGGATGTGTAGCAGGCCAAGTTGTCATTGCGATCGCTCTTCGCTTCGTGCTCATCCGTCGAAACCGTCTTCGTGACGCTCAAGGCCCTGTTGTGGAGGATGAGAATGCCGTGTTGCAGGATCTCACTGACTTTGAGAACCCCAACTTCCGATACTCTTACTAGTTATGGGAGATGTTTATGATGTCATGAGTGTTTGTTTAGTTAGTGTTGGTTAGAGTCAATTGAAGCTTTGGTCTTGGACCCTGTATACCCCGGATTCGGTGATGACTCGGGAACCTGTGCGTGAAATCTGGGGTATTCCACTTTGACGCTGGTTTTACGTAAAGGAATTAATATGATCAGATGGTCATGCACGATGCTAGGTATTGATCCCGGGATTTCTTGGCAAGACGGGGTAGACATGGGTCAGTCGAGGCGATGTCTGTTTCTCCGGGCACAACATCATCACTTGATCTACGGAGTCATGTACTCTGAATCAACATTTTAGTGCCATTCATTGTATTACCTAGTCCTCCCACTTGGACGAAACCCTCCACCAAAACTCACACTGATCATCTCCCCACGTAAACTCAACCAACTCAGCTGCCTTCCCAACCCCGGTCCCCCCAGCCCTCTCATCATTCCCCCTCCCAAGCAACATCGTCTTTCCCTTCCCGTCCTCAAAGGGGGTCCACTCCGGTCTATGCGCAAACTTGCCCTTTATAGCATTTGGATCACCCTTTGTGATGAAACTTGTACAATATGCGTGGAACTGGCCAGATACTTCTCTCTGCGCAGGTGAAATCTCACGGACTTCTCGGTTGAACGTCTGATATCGCATTTGATCACCGTGGTTAGCACCAAAGAGGGCGGTCTTGTTAAGGGCCCAGTGGTATAGATATGCGGGTTCGGCGTTGGGGTGGTATGTTGACCAGATTACGGTTTGGCGGACGGGGCATGTATATGCGTAGTGGCCGTATGCTGTCTCGAGGCGCTTATACTGCGACCCCACGCCGGGAATACCACGAGTGTCGAGATGTGGTGAGTCAGGGTTTGTTGAGGGATCAGGATACAGCTTCTCAAGCTCCGCAACTTCAGCCTCTGTGAGATGCGGGAGAAGTTCACGAAAGAAGCCCGTGAAATCCTCAGGTTTGTCGGCTGTTCGGAGAACGTAGAAAGCACCTTCGTTCGCAGCTGAGCCTGTCAAGATGGTAACTCTATGGAACTTGCCAGACTTCCATGCTTCAATAGGTCGTCGTGAAATGACATCTCCGTCAATAACAGGCTGCCATGCCCAACGGATAGAAGGATCTGAACGTCTAAAGACCTCTTTTCCTGCTTTGTCGACAGTCTCCGAGGGAAGTCCGCGAAGACAAGTGAGGATCTTTGGGTCTTTGAGGTTCTTGAAGTGTGAGCATGGTGTCAGGTCGAGAAGTTCCCGGAAGTGCTGGGTGTTGAGCGCCGCGTTTGGAGGATGGACTGCGCGTGCAGTATGAGCTCCTGAGTCCATGATTGCTTTGTGGAAGAGCTTCTTGGGCTGGTTTATGTCCATGATGAGATGCCCAATCTGTAGTCGTTAGCAACAGTTTGAGGTAAAGGGGAGGCCACTTACACCATGAGCTGCAGCACTCAGTCCCATGATGGTAACATCATTAGGATCACCTCCAAACGCAGCAATGTTCTCTTGAACCCACTCAAGCGCAACATACATGTCCTTCAATCCAAGGTTCAACAGACCCTCGTTGGCGGTTAATTCAGTGTTCAGTCCACCGAATACGCCAATGCGATATTGCATGCTAACAGCAATATACGGCTCTTCTGAGAAAGCAAGCATGGTGTGAGAATTATGCATCCTCGCAGCACCACGATTAAATGCCCCCCCAGGAATTAGAACAGCAACAGGGAGTTTTCCCTTGCTTGGTGTATGGCCCTTCTTACGCCATATGTTGATGGTGAGACAATCCTCTGATTCATAATCTGGACCCAGAATGGGGTCTTTGAGGAAGGGAACGAGTTGTATGCCAGGACATCTTTAACAGTCAGTGTACACTTCAACATGATGCTTTGGAAGCTTACCTTGGTCCTAGATAATAAGCTTCAATCGTCTCATTGCTCTCACCCACAGGCTCAGCATGTCTGAACCGTCGTTCACCAACCGGAGGTACAGCATACGGAATTCCCATGAATCCCTCCAACGGTTCAGGAAACGTCCCATCATCAACAAACTTCCCAATAACAGTCCCCTGCTTAATTCTCACAGAAGGCAACGTCTCCGGTCCAGAACGTCCAAAGATATCAGGATACGCTATAAATGCAGCGGCCAAGAGGACAGGCAATGCAGCCAACCACGCCCACGAACTTCCCTTGCGTTCAGCCATGTTCGATTATGATAACATCTAATCCTGAGCCATGCTACCTACACGATCGTGCTATTTAGATAACAGCCATTGACACTTTTCCGTCGGGCCTAACGTCCAAGTTCCCCGGATTAGTTCCCCGAGACTTTCCTATCTAGATGACTTGCAAGGAACCAAGTGGGAACGCGGATGCACAGAGTTTAGAGCTACGGTTGTCAAATTTGAGACCCGTGCTGATCGGCTGCTAAGCTTGGGCTCCGAGACGATAAGTTATCAAGAGGGGAAGTTGGCCGCGGGAAACTTGCACCCTGGTCAAATGATAGTGGTGGAGTCTGATCTGAAATCCGGGGTAAGCTACATGCATGCAGGGAGCTTTGACAAACGGAACAACGGCAGACTAAGAAACGCTATGTATTCGATGATATCAGAACTATGCTGCTATGAGATGAACTAGACCGACCCACGTATGCTGTCTATCCAAAACGCCAAGATGATGAGATGCCGAGATAACATGCTAAATCACAATTCCACGCTGAGACCATCCCCCTCTACCTTTCCAAGCCCAGATCAGCAACCCAACAGCAACCCACACAGTAACAGTCTCAGCCCAATAAGTCGGAGCATAGCACTGTTCACCATAGCAGAATAGATCGCCGCGCTCTTCACTCCCAGGCGCAGACTTTGAGTTGTTCGCGCCGTTCTGATACGTCGCTGAGTAGACAAGTCCCCAGAATGTAGACCCAGCAGCAGGAAGCATACCGATGATGCCGAAATTCGTAGCAAAGTTCTCTACGCCCCAGATAATTGTGACGATTAGGGGTGTGAGACTGAAGATTGCGCCGTAACCTGCGCCGACGAGGCCTGAGACGAGCCAGAACCGCTCAGCGTGGTTTTGTACAAGGCCGGATGCGAGGATCAAGAGACCGATTGAGAGGAGTGTTGCAAAGAAGGCCATGAAGGCGACGCGGGAGATGGAGAAGCGGTTGCTCACGGCTGAACGAGCATGCGGTGCTTGAACATGCTGTGTCTGGGGATACGGTGCCAGGAGATCTGTCAGAGTACCGATGAAGATACGAGAAGCAGTGTTTGTGACTCCAAAGATGGACACATGTGTCGCAGCTGAAGTGCGATGGCTTCGGGCTTCCATTTCAGGTGGTGTCAGTGTACCAATAATTGTGCCCAGGTTGTTGATGAAAGCCTCGCCTGGTCCAACGATCAGAAGAAACGCCAGAGCAAACGGCCACATGGTGCGATCAGACAGGAACGAACGCGTTTCAGCGTTGAGGACCCAGTTCTTCTTCCACTTTGCATCGTCTTTCGACGGATCAAGTAGCGCTGAGCCCTCTATCTCATCACCCGTCGCACCGTAACTCCTCTCGGACCTGCCGAGTAGAGAGCTTCCATCGAGTAAACCACTCTGCTCCAGCTCCTCGATAGCCTCGTCGATAAGCTCATCCTCATCCACGACACGCAATGTGAATGTGCCCAGCATACCCATGGAAAAGGTCAAGATGGCGAGGAAGAGGAAGAAGCGAAAGACATCCAAGTCGCCCTTGGATCCGTCTGGCCGCGTCTCAGTGAACAGACGAGTTCCCGCTTGACTCAGCCACATGGGACTCAATCCAAAACAAGTAATCGGCGTAGCGAGCGCCAATCCTCGATAACGACCTTTTCCAAAGTTCTTGGCGCAAGATGAGACAGAAGCCATGTAAAGTGCGCATGTCGCGATACCAATGCACACAAACGCAAACATCAAAAACGGAACGGACCAGTCTCCATTGACACGATATCCAGGATGACTGCGATACTCCAGATCCAATTTTCGATAAACACCCGCTGCGATGCCATACCCACTACCGAAGAGGATTCCTCCCCCCAGCGCAAGCGGCTTCAGCCCAACGCGATCGCAGATATACCCGATGAGCGAAATAGGAAGGTACAGCGCTACAGAGCCAGCAATAGCGACGGCGTTGACCTGGAATTGGGTGTAGTGCAGGCGAGACTGGAGAAGAGGCGCGTAGAGGGAGAAGACGACAATGGAGCCGCAGGCGAGGGCTATAATGTTTGCTGCGATGAAGGCGATGAGGCGGAGGGCTTGTTTCTCCTTGTTTCGTCGCGCGCGGGAGGATGAGTCGGAGGACGAGGCGTAGGAGCTGTGTGTGGAGATTTGGTCGGCGTCGAGGCGCGTGTCGTCGGGGGCGGGAGACGACATGATGATGAGGGTGTAGGATGGTTGAGGAGGAAGAGTTTAGGATAGTGTCATGGTTGATATACGGAGTAAATAGATAGAGTTGGTGAATGTGAATCACGTCAGTTGGGACTGGTCCATCGCGATCCCACGTCATGGGTCATGCTCCGAATCGTACCCCACAATTCTGTGCCGAGGTCGGACAAAATTCCGGATCAGTCAGAGCAGAGGCTTATCAATCTTATCAATCTGAAGGACTTGATCACGAGCTTCATCAAGATACCTTCACCTTTGGTTCGTTGAAGAGTGGTTCATGTGTTTCACTGGGTCAGACATGGAGCCAGAAAGCCACACAGTGGATCACAGCTGATTCACAGCCAGTACATTAGAACACATGTCTTGGTCGTACAGTTTGCGAAGCGGACTACCCTAGACAATCACGAGCAATAACTAGGCGGAATGCCAGAAGCCAAGGGGATAGCTAAAAGGACGATGTCTTGCATCTTTGACGTCACTAACCAAGAGAAAGAGATCTCATTAGTTATTTATTATTCTTCTGCTTGTGTGCGTGTTCAAGATTGACCATCATTGCGGCATAAAAAGCTGCGTCACAGTAACCATTAACCAACTTCTAAGGTCAGTTAAAACGTTCCAGCAACACTGTGATACATTTCCCGTGGAACACTAAACTAAAGACTGGGCTAGGCAAAGCATGAAGAATAGTATGTGTGATGAAAATGACCGAAGCTCAACTGAGCCCAAATTGAGTTGAGCTCGAGCGCGCGAGATCTGTGATGTGCATTGAACGCATGGGCGACACTCGAGAACAGTTGCGCCGCATGTTCACCTCACTCACACCTCACAACATCCCTTATTGATGCATATGGCATGGTGGCTTCTATTGAAGTTGGGAGTTTGAAACGGCATGACGAAAGGCCATCGACATCGTCAGCGACGCGGCCATCATCATCAAATCTGGTCATCTTTCGGCACGGCACCAGGTTCTCGAAATGGTCTGTCGTGTCTTGAGTCACCGAAGAAGAGACAATCTACTTCAAAATTTCATGATTTGAAAGATGGCAGTAATCATCTTGAGATCAAGGTCAACTTCAATCCTCTCGGGGCGGGAGGCTTCCGGCAGTCACCACTGATGATAGCTTCGAATCTCGCAAGAGGGCTTCATACAGATTACATGTGGTCGGAGCTGCAGTGAGATCCATAGTCCTTGTTTCGCCGCTTGCTTGTTGCTTGTCACCCGGCGAATTGAACGCGTCGGTAAAGTGAAGGCATGAAGTGTTGAAGTGCTTGTGAGGGCCTGGGTGCTCTTCTAATTTTGGTTGGAACCGTCAGTGCTGGAGATTTAAACACAAAACTGGGCTTCTTAAATTTGGTAGGACGGTATCGCGGTGTATATCATTGCGCGAAGGCTCGTGTGTTCTGTGACCATTCTCCAAGAAGAGTGGCGGCATACGTAGAAGGGGATCCCTGACCCGTAACTGGGTTTTCGGCATCGAGGAGGAGCTGTCGGGCATGGGATATGAGGTAGATGCACTGCTCATGATGAAGGCGGTGATGGATCTGTCCTGCATGCAACCATTAGATGTTGTACAACATGAACCTTTGAGGCACGTACCTTTGCAACAATTCTCTCAAGGCCCATCCTTCGATGCAACAAGAATCGGGACATCGGCTTCGGTGTTGAGACTAAGCCGAATATTCCTTTGTTGACTGACGGGACTTGGTCAGAGGTTCGTGTCGCCTCTGTTCAAACAACAATGGAGAAGGGCAGTCACCGGGAGACGTGGATCAACCTGGCAGACGGTATGCAACACCGTCTCGAATGATTCCGGCCCGAGAAGACGTAGTTACGTGCTGCTGTAGTGCTCGTGGATGTAGAGGGCGCTAAAACGGCGTAGTGAAATGAATCACAACAGAGTGCTGCGAAAACTTCATGTTAGAACCCTCGCAATGTTTCGGTAAAGGCTGTAACAAACCTGATGATATGGAAAAGCATAACAGAAGTGTCACTGATGCAAAATGACAATGAAATGAAGCGATGGGTGTTTCCGCATGTGGAAGAAGGAAGTGTGTAGATCGAGGTTAGCATACCGCATCACAAAACTCGCCGAGATCAATGGGCGAGAGTAACGAAGAAATAATTGAATCAAATGAATGTTTCTTGTTTAGCTACAGACCGCTTGTCCTCACCGATCAACAACCTCTTCGCACACAGATTCAGTTGCTGTCAACATATATCGATATGGAAATGGCCGTACGCGGCACCCGCTTGTCGAATTGGCGTTCAGAGCACCCGGCATCCATATCTTCATCCTTGACGATGGCGCTGTCCTCCTCTTCCATATCCTCATCCTTGACGACGGCGCCGTCGTCCTCATCTCTGACGAACGCGTCACCACCATGTCCATATGCACTTTCTGAAAAAATGCGTGCAAAATGGTTTTGTGGTTTGGTGGCCGTGAGTCGATTTTCTTGTTGCTCATCCTTGATGTCGTTGACGTTCATCATCAGGATCACCGACTTTCAAGTCTTTCTCGCAAACATTGATGTGAGAGCAAACTGACTCCAGGTCGAAGAAAACAGAGGTTTGTGCCTGTGTTGGTGACCGTCTCTTGGGTTGAAGGAGCAAGCGATGTTGACAGCCACTTCCACGTCCCCTCTCTCGCCCTAGCGGTGTTGTTGGCCCTGCCGACCTCACTGCGAAAGGCGCGWCTTCACCGTCGCCACCCAGTAACCTGTCACCAGCCTTACGCGGTGGCAACTGGTAAGGCATTGTGGTATAATGTCCAAGTTGTGAGCCAGATGTGTTATTTGCAGTTGAGACTTGTGGCTGAGAGCTTAAATCAGCAGAGAGAACTTAGTCCTCGTCCTTGATGCCATCGCCGCTCAGTATCAGGATCATCGAGTTGCTAGTTCTCTGGGAAAATGTTAGATGCTGGAGGGGGAGGCAAAGGAATGTGGAGTGAAGTGACCCAGAGGGAAACAGCACAGAGAGAAGGGCGACATACCTTAGGGAAGAGCAAGTGTAGTTAGGATAGCAAGGTGATTTGAGGTCGAAAGGTCGAAGAAGATGGGGGTTTGTACCTTATGTTGGTGAACCTTTCTTGCGTTGTGAGGGAGCAAGCGATGTTGTCGCTCCCCATTCCTCGCAAGCGAGGTTGTAGCAGGCGATTCTTCCACGGYGCTCGAAGCGCGTCGTGGTATTTCGCGTATTGTAATTTCAACACGAGCGGGGTCTGATGTCGAAGAAAGGATAGGAAAGAGCAAATATCGATGTAATAGGAAGCAAGCTTGAAGATGGGAGCGAGGAGATGTGTCTTTGACTGATTTGTGTGCGTGTTGTGGTGGTCGTGAATGAGCGAGAAGCTCTTGCAGACTTCCACTGCGTGTCCCTCTGTACAGCTTTGCAGGCTCCGGCCTCGGTAGACCTTACATCCACAGCACGCTTGATTCGGTGCTCGGTCCCCTCGCCATTCCTGCAGCAGGATGTCACCGCCCCCCAAGAATGAGGGCGGGAAGATGGCTTGCACCTACACCGAACGGCGTGCGGCCTCCATTACATCCATAGAACGTTCAATTCGATGTTCCGTGCCTTCTTCATCCCCGATCAAGCGTACCCGGAAAGGGCCTATTGGGTTTCAAAGTCAGCTCATGAACATGCCTCTCAGTTTCATTAACGTACCGCTGGTCACCTCAAAATGAGGGCAGGTCACCTCAATATGAGGGAAGAGTGTTGGTATCACTCAGGAAACTAGCAAAGAGGCTTGTGTCTCATTGGCCTCCTCTTCGTCCGACCATCTACACAGGCAACCCCAATACGCTGTCACGCCGGAGCGGGCAGGATGGCCCTGGGCCTGCATACCCATGGTGAGATGGGCCTGGGTACATCTGCATAGGCTCATTGAACTGTAGATGAGGATGCTGAGGTATGTCCATATAGGTAAAGCCACCAGGAGCTGCGACGGGAGCCATGGCTGGGGCCAGCATCGGCATATAACCCATAGGGGGCATGGCCGGTTGATATACATGCTGCTGAGCAGCAACGACAAGCTGGTCCTCGGGGACTTGCTGAGAGGCGACAACGACCTGTCCTTCAGGGGCTCGCTCAGTGGCATCAGGCGTGGGGTTGGGAGCGCGCCCTGGTAGGGCCTGTTGAGGTGTCAAGTCAGCTTCTACAAACATGCCTCTCAGCGTTTCCGACTTACCGCTTTTCACCATCACCCAGCCGAATGTACTAGCCCTGAAAATGGATGGCGCTCAAGCGTCTCACCAATACCTCGCGCCAACGGTCGAGCTACCTAGTTCATAGGCATGAAGTTGCCAGTGAGCACTGGCTGTGCCTGGTACATTTGGTTTCCCATGACCTGAGCGGCTGGTTCTTCATCGGGACCGCCCTTCTTGGCCTTGGGGACTCGCTTCCGACCTGAATTGAGGGTCGGTCAGTGTACTGGATCATTGCGATTAGAGGTAGAGCATAGGCTTACCACGGGTCGCCTTCTTGACGGGGGTTGAAGGAGTGCTTCCATCGTTCGACTGGGCCTTGAAGGCTTCGATTTTCTTGTTGAAGAAAGTCCACTGGTCAATCCGAGTAGCGCGCCCTAGTAGGGTCTGATGGAACCATAGGCTTAGCTCATGCAAATATGCCTCAGAGTTCGTCACATACCGCTTTCACCTCATGAAGAGGGACGGACACCAGCGTCAACATCCTTCAACAGGTTGCTCAGAGACATGTCTCATCCAAGGAGCGTACCTTGTTAAGGCCTGTAAAAATGTCAAGTTAGCTTTTATGAACATGCCTCTAAGTGTTCACGACGTACCGCTGTCACCTCATTACGAGGGAAGGATGCTCGATTCACCCATAAACGGGGACGGTACCTGCCCTGTGAGAGGGCGGCAAATTGATGCGGGACGCAAAATCTGGCACCAACTGCAGCATCCGATGAAGCCCAGGGTGTTGCCATTCGGCTGTTGTTGATGCTTCACCCCTAGAGCGGGGGAAGAGGATCACCGCTGGTGTGGGGGAGGGGGGAGGTAGAGAGTTGGTGAATCAGTGGCAACGCGCTGAATCGAGAGCACGAAGGTAGTTGTGCTTGGCAAATGCAGGGGAAAATACGGCAGGKGAATAGGAGAATGGAAGGGCATGAGGAGATGAGCGAGATCCGCTTGAGAGGCGGTCTCTTTCACCCTCAGGTGTGGGTCATAATTCGGAGGCGGCACTCAACGTCACACCGATTTGAATTGGGGCATGAGCTGTGATAGCCTTCGAGGGCTGACAACAGGGATGGCGCCGACTTACTCGGCTCCAAAGTAGTCTGGACTCTGAAGAGTTGCGGAGTAGTGAAGAGAGCATTGGTGGTAGGAGAGTGAGGATCGAGATCCGCCTGAGAAGCGGTCCCTGTCACCCTCCGACATGAGTCACACTCTGCAGCTAACGCTCAGAATCACCCCGTTTGAATGGGGGACAGAAGAGCACCCAATGCTGAAGAGTCGATGGTCGGATCCGCCTCAGAGACGGTCCGCATCACCCTCCAACAGGGGTCTCACCCCGCAGCTGACACTCAGCAATATCACCAAAGTCCGAAGACCCGGGATGCCATCATCTGTCGAATGTCAGTGTCAAGTCTCACGAGGATGGTTGAGGGGCGTCACTTACGCGCTAAACCTCTGCTGGGTCCGGTGCGCTCTCGACGTCCCTTGAAAATCCACGGGAAGAAATAATTCTCACGCCAGATCGTGCTTCATGAGAAGTTAGCGTCGACGGTTTTGTTCCAAAGGGCGATGCTAACTCGTGAGTGAGGACCGACCAAGGCACTGATGGACTTGGGCGAGGCGCTCCGCTTTGCTCAGGAGCCGCAGTCTCTTGTGACGGTGAGCGTTGGTCGAACAGAGGCACAGTGAACCTGAGAGAGCGGTGCCCATGGTACGCAAGGGACTGGGCAATGAAAAGTCAGCTCAACTCTGGATGTCATCCAAGAGCTGAGGGATATTCTTGGAGAAAGCATACCTTTTTGATTGATAGTTAAGGCTTATGACATCTCAACGAGATATATCAAGCCAACACCGTGGAAAGGACTTGTGCGTTTGGGGAGTGCGGTGCGCAGTGTTAAGAAATATTTGTTTGGGCTGAAGAAGGTAATGAATATTTGGAAGAGGGAGAGGAGATGAGAAATATTTTTGTGTGTGGGAAAAATATTGGGAGCTTTTATTGTGAGCAAGAAGGCCAGGAGGTGACAGTGTCAAGGAGGTGGATCATGTGACCTGTGCATTATGCAGAGTCCCTAAGTCCCCAAGTCCCCTAAGGTACGGGCAGGGCAGGAGGGGAACTTGCTCTGGTAACACTCATTTCCCAACTTCTGAAAACTCGTCCGTTCTCTATTTTTTTCTTACCACTGAATAATTCTGATCGATCTACACGCATAAACGCGTCAAACACTTGCAGCAATGGACGAAAATGACAAGTCCTTGCGCGCTGCATCCAGGAAGGAGGAGCTTGATGCTCTCTTCGAGAGCCTATCGCCCTTCGATATCCTTTACCTGAGAAAGAAGATTTCCGAGACAACGATCACCCTTGCAGGACTAGAGAAGTTACCCCCTGAGATGGTCTGTGAGATATTGAAGTACCTTGACTTCGACGATTATCGCGCGTGCCTTGCGGTAAATAAAAGTTGGAAGGCCAAGTTCGGTCAGAAAGAAACCATGGCACAGGCTCTGCACATATTCTTCCCTGGCCTTATCCCCATGAACCCCAATGACCACCCTCAAAAGCTCTTCTCGATTGAACTAGCTAAGCACCTCAAGTGGCGGTACCCTCACGACAGTCGAACCTGGACACCTTGGGACTTGTCAACCACCAATTTCTTTTCCCGTCAGACAGCCGCAGTCCACTCCCAGGGCGTTCCTTGGGCTTTTCTCTACAATAAGGGAAAGCTGGTGTGGCAGCTGTCCACTCATATCATCATAGTTGATGATATCAGAAAGGCAAATCGGGAGAGATTCGCCCCTCTTGCTAGTGCCATGAGAGGCGCGCGATTCCAAGCGGCCGCAATCAGCGACTACTTCCTGATCCTTCTCGAGCTCCTGCCAGGTTTGAACAAGATGTAAGTGTTTTAAAATTTCTGTTGAGAGTAACCACCGACTGACATCTCTAGTCATGTTGCCAAGATGGATACCAGGGGGGCTTGGGCTGAGCTCACCCTTCCCGCCGGTCTCGACCACGCATATGTAGATCTGAAAAAGATGTTCTTTGTCACCACAAATGGAAAAATCTTTAGCTACAGCTGGCGTGAGTCTCTGCAAGAAGTAGACCTGTCTGGAATTGGACACCCCTTTGGGCCACAGCCAGGCTGTTATGGCTTGGCGCAAGTGTTACCACATCCTCAACATGATGATGTTTTCTTCGCTGTCTGGGCTCTCTCCCACCCCGCTCGTGGTAAGTTCATCGATCACAAGTTTCTCAACAGTGACTGACGCCAGTAGACTTGAACCTCTGTACCCTGAAGGTGGTCAAGTTCAAAGACGGAAAGATTGTCGCCACGAAGACCAAGGCAATCCTAAACCCGTTGCAGAACCCCCAGGAGGGGTGCAACGATCTCACTCAACTTGCTATAACCTTCTCCGCCCGCAAGTCAGACGACCACGGCACCTACACCCTAGCCACCTACCGCTTCCAGGGCGTCGAGAAGAGGAAGCTCGAGCTCTGCGACTGCTGTGAGCCCAAGACCCTGAAGGGTGATTGGAACGTCATCACATTCAACCTCTTCACAGAGGCCTTCGCCGACTACGAATTTCTCTCCGCAGACTCGGACCTCCGGTATAACGGCGACCCTACGGCCATGCGGGGCCAAAGGAACGTAAACAGATTGACGGACACCCATTTTTGGAAGGGTGATCTAGTCCTTGCGTCATCAATCACCTACGATGAATTGGGACCTCACGAGTACGCTGAGTACTATACAGAGACTCATCTGGAGACTCTCCGACCCTTGGATGCACCAGCAGCGCCAGTACCCCAATGGAGACCCATGAGACACGCCGACCCTGGGCAGGTGCTACGGACAAAGGTGTTCCAGGATGACGACTTTGTTATTGTGCCGAGCCTGGGCGGGCTAGCGTTGTACAAGCCAGAGAGACAGGCCCCGAACCCGGGGACCTTGTTTGATCACACCCTACCATTCCAGGATATGGGGCAGGAAAATCTGCCGCTCAAATTCCAATTCTGGCAAAATGCCAGATTGATTGAGCTCAAGCATGAAGAAGATCCGGAGGAAGGGGACGATGAAGATGGGAGTGATGAAGATGGGGATGTTGGCGGGGACGACGGGAATTGAGGAGAGAACATGGTGGCGGCGGGCTGCCCCGATCAACCACCACCGTATGGTATCGAGCGCAGGCCTGTCTCAAGAGGAGCAGGAGTTTCTTGAGCAACATCGCCTCGAGGACCTGCTCAAGCCGGAGGATATCCAGCCCAGGCCTTTACCAGTCCCGACCTTGGCAGTCCCTACTACAAAATTAGATGGGGTCACTCCGGTTCAGTCTCCTGAAAAGTAGCGGCCCTGTCATTCTTTTCCCCAAACACCAAACTTCTCTGCCACAATTTACATCCCGACAACTTCATCCTCCAACACAGCTGTCACCACAGATCAACACATCTCAAGATCGTTTTCGAGAGGCGCATCTCATGACACCTCAAAGGCGCTCCTCTGCACCTAGTAGGGCATCAACAAAATCGCCCTTACAGCCCGCATACCCAACTACCAGGTCAGATGAGGTTACCAACGGTCGCCACATGGTGTTGACTGCAGGCTTGCCTCAGGAGGAGCAAGAGTTCATTGAACACCCTCACCTGGAGGACTTGCTGAAGTCGGAGACTGTGCAGTTCGGACCGCTGCCAATTCCAAGGCTGTCGGCCAGTGGATATTGACTAGACGAGGTCACTCCGGTTCAGTCTCCGGAGAAGGACCCTGTGCCGAGTCTGGTAACACAGTTCGTTTCGCCCCTTCACCAAGCACCTTGCCATCTCACGCTGGGTCGTGTTTCGGAGGTTTCGCTATTTTCCTTACGTTCACTGGCAGAGGCTAGATCCTCTTTTTGTTATTATTGTTGCCGAGCGTTATGTTGATTAGATTGGGGATAAGTTAAAAGGATTATCTGGCTATTGCCCTCAGAGCTTTGAGTGGACTCCCGATCCAAGGGGCTATCAAAGATCGTGAGGAAGAGGACGGCGATCCTGGCGTTGACGGAAAGGGATGATGAACAATACCCCTAGATATTTGCTACTAGTGTTTAATAATGTATGGCATTTGTATTGAGACTTTCTTACACTACTTTCTTCATTTGTGATGGCCTCGGATGTGATTTAGATAACGCCGGAACGAGATAGCGCAAGAAACCTACGGAGTCAATCATCTACGGTACTAACGTCGACCCTGTGTAGCCGCAGTCACTTGCGCCCACCAATCATTAATCCCCTCAACATCACACCAGTCCATCTCAATAGGATTCTCAAACCACCACCGTCCATTCTTCCGGTCACTCTCATACTTCTTCAAACTGCCTCCATCAAAACGATGGTTCTTCACACCCACAAGCAAGACCGCACTTCCGACCCGAGGAGTGAAGGCTTCTGGATCTAGAAAGACTGTAAGGTTTACTTGCTTTGACGTAGACGGATCTGCGAGGCGTGCACTTCGCTGTCGATATGGTGGAATACTCGAGGGTTCAATGTCGGAGAGGTAGGAGACTATGGCGAGGACGTTACAGGACCAGTTCTGGGCGTAGGGCAGATGAGGGATTTGGCGCAGGGTGTTGAGCTTGAGAGGGGTTTGGGGATCGTGCCAGTCGCGCGGGAGGGCAATGGCTTGGTGGGATGTTGGTGTGTCTTGGGTTATCGCAGTTCTTTGTGGAGTTTGTGGTCTCCCGGAAACTTCAGCCTTTTGTGGTGACTGTGGCTTTCGCGATGCCTCTGCCTTCTGTGGTGTTTGAGGTTTCATTGAAAGTCCTGCCTTTTGCGGTGTCTTCGGTTTCTGCAGTGTCTCTACCTTTTGCGGTGTTCGTGGTTTCCGCCAAAGTGTTGCCTTGGTTGGTGTCTGCGGCTTCGGAAGTGGCACCGTCTTTCGTGGAGACTCAACCTTTCGAAGTGGAGGTGGCTCCTGGGGAGTTTTCGGTCTGTTGGCATCCATGAGTCTCTCAAAGGCTTCGAAAGCTTCTTCGGCTGCTGCCTCATCGACATCGTCAAACTCCATGTAGTCCTCAAAGACGGATTTAGGGGGTTCTTTTGGAAGTTCCGGCTGATTGGGAACCGGCTTGACCTGGGGCTCAGGTTCTGGTGCTGGTTTGGATTGAGGCACAGACTTTGCTTGAAGTGCTGGTGCCGGGATTTGTTCAGGCAGAGGTTCATCCTTCTTCTGAAGTGCTCGATATGTTTCATTCCAACCGACTGTGATCAGATCCGTCACCAACAGCATCACCATGCTCTCCTCACCGACGTCCTTCCACTTGATATCGAACTTCTCACAGCGAACATAAGCCCCCAAAGCGATGTCCCCCGTTGTGACGAAGCGGTGCATATCAGGCGCCAATATCGCCTGAATACAGACCTCCCCATCACCAAGGATAAGTCGGATGACCTGCCATCGTCCCGACCTTGAGACAGAAATGCGATCAACGCCCTCGACAAGAAAGACGCTTCCAGGGACACAATACTTGGTGCGTAGGATCTCACTGACGAGGGGTTTGAGTTCGAGCGGTTCGCCTAGAAAAGTGTTGGCGGCGGGGTTGAGCTTCAGCGATATTTCAGGCATGTGTGATGATCCATCTGGTGTTGGCGATGATAATGTTGGCGATGAAGATGAGATGAGATGAGATGAGTAAGTGCTGAGCTAGCTTACAAGCGTGAATGAGGTCAGTATGCAGTTATCCACTATTTACTCAAAGCGGGGTTTGTTCGCAGAACACTCATCACTCCTCAACACAACTCCAAATGAACAGTCCATACGCAAAAGAACTCACTGTCGCTATTGGCGCTTTGCAAAAAGCAGCTCAATTGAGTCAATCAATTGTTTCTGACAAGGACAAAGGCGCAATTGAGAAGGATGACCTGAGTCCTGTCACTGTTGCCGATTTTGCGGTCCAGGCGCTCCTCACAGCGACGATCAAGAATGCGTTTCCGGAGGACAAAGTTGTCGGGGAGGAAGATGCTTCGGACTTGAGGCAGAACCCTGTGTTGATGGAGAGGGTTTGGCAGCTATTGGAGGGGATTGCTGGGGATGAGGATACAGTTTCACTGTGCAAGTTGCCAGCGAGCAGGGAGCAGATGTGTGATCTTATTGATGAGTGCGGAGCCAGTAGCCCGTCTGTCACTGGGAGAACTTGGGTGTTTGATCCAATTGATGGGACTAAAACCTATCTACTCGGTCAGCTTTATGCTATCAACATGGCTTTGCTTGTGGATGGTGAACAGACTGTTGGGATTGTTGGCGCGCCAAATTTGTCAATTGATGCAAAGGCACCTCTCAAGAACGAAGACATTGATGCCACTGGCAAGGGATGCATCTTCTTCGCTGTCAAAGGCCACGGCGCTTACATTCGCCCCCTACGAACCGATCAACTGAGGCGACTCCCTCTTTACAACTCCAACGACCTCAGCCTCATCACCAGCTCAACAGTCGACTCCGCTCTCTCCGGCATTCACGAAATCGTTGCCTCGCGTCTCAACACCGCTTATCCAGGAAATGATCTCCTGCCTTGGGTCCTTCGCTGGGCGGTACTCGCAATGGGTCTCGGCAACACGACAGTCTGGGTCTACAAGCATCGAGATCGATACGCTAAAGCTTGGGACCATGCGGGTGCCATGTTGTTGTTTGAAGAGACAGGCGGAAAGATTACGGATGTCCATGGGAAGAAGATTGATTTGGCTGCGGGGAGGAAGATGAGTGCGAACTTTGGGTTTGTTGGAGCAAGGGAGAATCATGGAAGGGTTTTGGAGGTTGTGAGGGAGGTGTTGATCGAGCAGGGGAAAGAGGAGTTTTTGAATTGATCGAGGGCTGAGGGCTGGTTGTGATGCTTTTTGAAGAGATGGAAAGTGTATTTCGCGGAGATGCTTTGCAACAGGTGGTGTCTTGATCCTGTAGAGGTTAGGTATCGTCAAAGGCCATGTATACTCGAACGCACCATGAGATCGACAGCTCAATTGAATGCTGATATAAATATGGTTCCCGACCCCAACCTGCATCTGTTAAGAAAACTCTTAGGTTGTATCACCGGGGGCGGCGCTGGAGTGTCGGGTGGGTGATGTTTCCGTATGAAGTTTGACCTCGAAGTGTTCTTAAGCAAACAGAACACGACACAGATGAATGGCGGTTTTGGTTGATGGCGCAAGGCTGGTCAACGAGATAACTATATGCGTAAAGTAAGGTATCAACTTCATGGGCACGTATTGAAGCTTCGTGTGGTCCATGAAAGAAAGTAAACAAGTAGAAAGAATCAGAATATACCGAGTTATATCATGGATGATTTGCTTCCCCAAACTTTACACACTGCAGTGGTTGGGGCACCTAGTTTGTAGCTGTAGGCCTTGGGTAGCTGCGTAGAAGACGTAGACGAGCCTGCTGTCAGACAATAGACTCAAATTGCGGTCAAAGATATTTGTATCAGTGAAAGAATGCACAATCGGCTATTGTTGGGTCAGCATCTTCGCTGCGTTGCGCCTCGAGGATGATCTGATTAGTGCGGCGAGTCGGCGCACATGTCCAGGTCGAAGCTTCCGGCAGTTGTGACGAAACAGTCTATGAATTAAAATTCAGGCATGGTTGGTGGGTTTGACTTGGCGTTGTCTATGGGAATTCGATCTTATAAAGGGGAACGGTCGGGGAAAGACAAGAGTCTAGCCTCGGAGTTGGAGCAAGAATTCGAGTTTGCGACTTATTCTTGAGGCATGGATACAAAATCTGGAGTAAAAGTGTAGCAAGTTAGCGCTTGTAACCTTTTGGGATAGAATGAATGCTAGTAGTCACTTTGGGATGCCTTTGTGATTGTCCTTTGATCAACAATGTGAACACTCGAAGCTGGGTGACAGAACACTCGCTTTTCTGTGGTCTCACAATCACACTAAGTCTTTTCTTCGAATCGGTCTGCATTCAGTTCTTCTCACTTGTTCACGAAGAACTGTTGAAGTGAGCGTGATGTGTCGAGAAGTGTTCACCTCACTGTGCAATACTTACCAGAACCCCTTTCCCCTGATGTGACATCTAGCTTGCTCTGCAATCCAGATACCTTACTCACTACTGTCAAAAATATGAAAGTGATTGCCTGGTCAAAAAGACTGAGCCAGCACTGACAAGCAGCCGTCAGTCCTTCCCCGCTGGTCTCACACTGGCGTTGCTGCTCGAGAGCGGGTCAAATACTTGTAGAAATCCGACCCTCCCCTCGTTTTTCCTTCTCCCACAAGACTCGCGCAAACATCGAAGATCACCAGTCAACCACAAACGTCTTCCTAATCACCCAAAAGTCTTTCCCGATATCAACTTGTACTCATACAACAAGTAAGTGAACTGCTTGCTTTATTCTTGTCCTTCAAATATCAGGCTCTCTTGTCTTTCGGCAAAACGACTATCCACTCAACGCTGACCCAAAGATCTATCCCCTCGAGAATTCGTTTGTTTATCAGGACCTTCCACTGACCTGTCCACAGCTCTCATCTATATCATGTCGTCCCCATCTTTCATAAAGTTGCCGGCGGAAGTCCATCTCCTGATAGGGGGGTTTCTCAAGCCCTCCGAGATGGAAGGACTTATTGTCTCATCAGGGATAATCCGCAAGAGAGACTCAAAGTCGTATTTCCACGACGTTGCCTTTCGCGGCACTAAGGCAGACCTGATGGAGGCATTGACTGCTTTTCTCGACGCAAACAAGACCCAGGCGACAACTAGGGACGTCGTTGTCCCCGCCATCAAGTAAGTTCGAATGATCTTGCTCGACATCGCAAACCTTTGTTAATGTAAGACTCAGATACATAACCATCGAGATTGAGCCCGACGTTCCCTCCCCTGGTCTGGATATCGCGTTGGTACTCCCACGACTTATCGCCAACTCCTTGGGGGTCATGAAAAACCTCCAGGGGATCCAGCTGATCCTCTGGTGGTTTTCAGACCTCCAGAGGCAGGAGTTGCGGGATAGATGTGCAGGCCTGCCTGTCTGGAATAGCCTCCGTTTAATCAACATGGAGAACGAAGCCGACACAGAGCTTCTGGCTATCCTGGTCAGCAAGACTCGTCCGGAGTCCTTCAGCGGACTGCACTTCTGGTCCCAGACCGAACTGCAGGCCGCCAGGCGGTGTTCACCTTCCCTTAGACGATTGCTGGTGCCATTTAGACTTCCCGCTTCGACAGATGTTGTTGACCACTTGAGGTTTATCTCCAACAGAACCAGCCTATTGACGCAATTTGGCCGGTTGGAATGGTTGGTTCTGACGCCAACCCCTGTCAAACCATTGTTACTTGACATGATCCGCCAGGATCCCAAGGTATGTTTACCTCTCGTCTGTTTTTGTCTGAGTTGGTCTAAACATAGACTAAACTGGTCTATATTATGTCTATGGCTCAACTGAACCATTATGCCACTTATTGATTTGGACCTTTACTAACGTTTCCGCAGGTGCTCTTAAATGTACTCGTGAAGGAGCTCTCCAAGTTGCCTTACCTCAAGCGGCTGGGGTTGACGTTCCCGAGTTTAATCCTCGCGGAAAATCAACCCGGGGTCCCGGGGACTGGTGTGGGATTGCCCGCTGTCAAACACTATGTTCGGCAGTGGAACGAGCAGATCTTCGCCGGGATCCCTGCCCTGCAGCAGGTGGCCTTCATTCATGGAGACATTGTGTTGAGGGCAGTAAGGGAGGCGGATGCCACCATTCGTTTCTCTGTCGAGAGCGATTTGGACCGACACGCGTTTCCCCTTGGGACCCTGTACTGAGCTCGCTCAGGCCAGCCGTTGGTGACAAGCGCAAGGCCCTGTCAGTGAGTCTTGATGATGCTTCCACGTTGAGAGTAGTCGCTAACGTCTTTGAGTAGACACCAGATCGGAAGGTATTTTTCCTTTCCTTCGCCTCTTGCCGCCCCCGAGATAACGCTTGCGGACGGGAAATAACACCGCGAAGTAGATCGCGGCTTCCGTACACTCAACTGTCACGGCGCTCCTCTCCTCGGAGAGTGGAAGGAGCATCTTCCAAAAGCCAGTGACCTCACTTCACCTACCTCTCTCACCTCAACCTGCCAACCAAGACTTGACATCCTGATCTTCGAAACACATAAGGCCATCAACCTTTCACTCCCATCATCCTCGCTCACTTCACCGAGTATCCAACTCTTGCCTTCGCACCTACCTCCCTCATCGAGCAAGCCTTGGATGTTTGAGAATGCAGAATCGTGCCTCATTTCAGAACGGAGAGTCCAAGCGACTGCGGAGAGGGTAAAAGCGTTGATGCCCTCATCGGCCACCAATCGTCAAACCCCCGTTCTGTATTGTCCTTTGGGCATGTATGGAGTATGGAGTTGCGGAGTATCTGTTTGTCTTTGTATTTGAGAATTCGACTTTTGTCTGTGGGTGATCAGCATAAACAGCACTTTTCTATAACTGCAGAGAGAGAGAGAGAGATGCCACAGTAATACACAGCATCATGCACGCATAATTTCACACAAGTAATATCACTGCTGCCACTTTGGGAATGCTCTGTATTCAGGAGAACATCAACAGTATGTTCACCTCAGACCCTCCACTTTCTCAAGATATCTTCGCGCATGTCAAGACAGTAGTTTCGTAAAGTCCAAAGACCATTTACTTTGATCAGTGCTATGTCTCACCATAGTCCTGTTGTAGTATATCCATCCAATATGCTTCAACGCTGATATCTGAATTTCCCAAGAGTCTAGCATACGCCAAGACCGTCTTATTGATTGCAGCCAAGGAAACCAGCTTGGTTAAGAGTGCTGGCCCGACATATCTCTCTGGAATCTCAAGTTTTAGTAACCAGGAGTGCCTCGGCCATATTGCAATTACTGCTGAATAAATCCCAGGACCTCTAAAGCAACACAATTAGCATGTTCAAGGTACAGTAGGGAGTAACTGTGACAGCCACACCCATTCTTTAGCCTGGTCCGCAGTGCTATGCCCGCCAGTTCCTAGCACTGCTGGATATTTTCTGTTGTTCTATTGCCCAACGTGCAGACTACCTAACCCACAGTTTTTCTTTTCAAAAATACACACTCAATACTTCCCTTGCATCAACTCGCATTTCTCTTCTATCGAGACTTTCACCACTTCCAACACTTCTAAAGCGACCACTTGACGTCTGAACTTGTCAAAATCGTTGAGTTATTCCGTCACAATTCTTAACACCCGAACGATATTCTCTTCCGTGAAACAGCAAACATTTCCCGCCGTCAAGTATACTGAGCATAGCTTCTCGGCGCTGCTCTCATCTCCCACATCACTCTTCACTCCCACGCCCCTTTTCACCCTTCGGTCAAGCCATCATGCCTTCTCTCATCTCGATGCCCCTAGAGATCATCAGGGAAATTGGAAGTCACTTGAACTACCAGGACCTGAAGAACAGCTCGCTGACCTGCAAAGCCGTTGAACCGGGGATGCAAATGCAACTTTTTCGGTACATGTCGTTTATTGGGACTCGAACACAAATCACCGAAGTTCTTATGCGATTCCTGGCAAGTGTACACCAAACTCGTACCAACGGTATGAGCAGGGCATGCCGGTAAGGAGTCCAGAAGATATATCTCGTATGATATTTACTGACTCGTTGTGCAGCTACCTTCGGATCGAGGTGCTACCACAGGATGCAGACCCCTTCAACGAGTGCAAGGACTTGCTGCCTGCCCTTCTAATCTCGGCAAAGAAACATCTACCTCGTGTGAAACACCTGTCCCTTACCCTCGATGGGCTCTCGAGGGGAGAAGTCACCTCGCTTAACCGAATGGTGAGGGAGGTGCCAACTTGGGACGCGGTTACTGTCCTCAGATCAGACCTGCGCGCCGCGGTTCTGTCTTTCTTACTCAGATACGTTCTGGTCAACGTTCGAACCATTGACGTTGTACCCAGCACGGCCCGACATGAGTTAGCTTCTATCAAGGAGAACTGCCCGGATATCCGAAAGCTCCGAGTGAATTTCAAGACACCATTTCCCGACTTCCTCAAGCACTTAAGGGGAGGACTCCGGGTCAAGATCAACCAGCTGGATAATCTCGAACAGCTGGTCGTGCAAGAGAAGGGGCCGGCGGAGAGATGGCCCATCGGCGGGATATCCCGTCCGGTGGACATCCCTCTCCGGCTAACCCTCATTGCCGACCAGTTGGGAGGGTTGTCCAGTCTGAGGCGACTCTCTCTTGAATTTCACCCCAGGATCATGACCTGGATCCTCCCCACACGACGCCTCATTCCTGGAGACCACTTGCGAACAGATCTTGATACGTTTCTGATGAGAGCGATAGTGGCGATGGCGGCGAGACTGACACAGGTGGAGGAGATTTGCTTGGTGGAGCGCAGCACTGAATTTAACGGCGTCAACATGATTCACCGTGGTGTTCGCGACCCCAACGGTGTGATGGTCGTCACCATCGAGGCCCCCAGCGATGAGCGAGACTGGTACCATTGAGTGCAAGGCGTGTTCTTGGTCTTCTTCCTTTTCCCCTCTTCTTTGTTTTTGCTTTTTGTTAAGAAAGAAAAGACTACCAAGGTGATGTCTTACCCAGGCAGTGTCATCGGAAAGGTTTTGTTGTGTTGCGTTGGAGTTCGGGGTTTTTTGGGGACGTCGATGCAGAGGTTTAGGCCTACACTTTACTACACGAATGAATAATAATGATGTATGAGTCTTTAATCTTGGGCCGAAAGCCAAAAAGTGAAATACTTTTGAAGGCCATTGTGAATATCTTGATAAGGTGGTGTTGATGGCTGAGTAGAAACCAACACCAACATCCGCCAGAGGCAAAGACAGAGACTACACATCCAATTGCGGCATGTTTCCAGAGCTGTTTAATACCTGGACATCATCACCCGCACCATGAATGCGATATGATGGACGCTTTGACGGCAGGGATGTGTGGAAGAGGCAGCGATGTTGGCGAAATACTAAGGTCATTGACCTCGCAGTGGAAGCCAGCCCCTGAAATCACGATCCTTCTCGTTGCAGGCGGGCTGAGGTTAGGTCGGTACCTAACAAGAGTGCCTCAAGAAACTCTCCCCCGCAGTGATCGATTGTCCCTCCGCCATCACGGGCCGACTCCCTTCCCTCCTGAACCACCCCCTCGATGTCGTTTCTCTTCCACTGCAATACCAGCTTCTCGACCTTTTCCTGATTCCTAGCTGTGTTGCGTATTCGAGCGCCACTTCGCTCCCGCACTTTCATTCCAGCTCCAAACACGCATCTGCATCTCAGACGGCATCTTTCCTCCAGTATTTCGTGGTATTTCTGCTCAGCACCTCGACTGTTTCCACCCAACTCTCGCCTCTCATCCAATGTGTGTCTGTTTTACCAACGCCAAAATGGTACGTTTAACCGGCTCTTGTCTAGAAACAGTCGCTGACCTCGACGGCCGAAATTCAGGGATTCACCGAAAAGCTCTTTATTCTGCGGGAGCTCAAGGTCTTCCGTCATCTCTCGCAGCAATAGCCGCTGAGTTACGAGGTGGATTGCGCTCTGCATGTACCCATCCCCTCGTGCGTTTCACCTCGTTCTACATGCTGTCCAATCATGCTGACTTTCTTCTAGATCCGGGCCTCTGGTGTATCGAGACAAAGCTGTGGCCAGCTCTTTGGTCGCTGCATCCTGAACTGCCCACAGAGATGATAGTGGTCAAGTCTGGGATGGAGGTGTCGTCACTTGGATGGATAACAAAGACGAGCCATGATGAAGTACGACTGGCCGGATGAGCACCAGAGGAATTTGGTTTCATAGCGAAGGGCTTGGGCGCTTACCGCGCAAGCGGTCAAATGTGTCGCAGTGGAGAGCGAATCTGAGGATACAAGCGGTCTTGGGTATGAGATAGGTCTCAAGTGAGGATGGATCCCATTGGAAGCATAGGCAGCGCCGCCAAGGTCCATCCCTTGCAATGCGTGAGATCGTAGTCAACGAGATCAAAGCCTCCGTGGCTGGTCACGTAATGGAGTTCGGGGGAGCTCATCTCTGGCCCCTTTTTTACACAGTCTCATCCCCAAATGAGTTTGACCTACGATGGACATCTCTTTGTGCTTCTATGTCTCATACCGTGAATAAACTTATGGTCAGAGCCTGGATAACGTGTCCTTACCATCTGCGGCGGCGGCGGCGGCATGGGAGAGCGCCTTGTGTTTAGCAAAGAACGGTACAGCTTTTACTGTTCATGAGAATAGAAAAGCTGTTTCTTTGGCGGCCTGCCATTTCTGTACTGAAGATCTCCTAAACCTGATGCAATGTTGGAAATACGAATCATTACCCCGAAAAGGACTTTTATTAAGCTAGATGCCCGAATGGAAGAGGTATGGCGACCGTGGCCCGGAAAACAACTTGCAAAACAAACAAAGAGACACAGCTCCTTATCAAGCGAAACACCAGGCTCACAAGAGCGAATGTCGGACGCGCCAGGGAGAGATCAGCAGCAGTGCCTTCCATTATGGTCTTCATCCAAACAAATTCGAAGGCTGGTGGAAGAGGATGTCAGTGATGGCTGTGGCATTGTCGTGTCGAGGACGTACCTTCAAAGCCTGGCGCATTGACGACCCAAGATTCCCAGGTGGTTTTTCATTTTCCAAATTCGTTCATTGAACTCAATCTCCCGAGGTGACATCTTGATCCGTTCGACATGTCTTCCACCTTTAGAGCCGATTATGGCGAGCCAGGTGTTCATTTCGGCCAAGGCTTTGAGTGGATTCTGTCCTGAAAGGTTGGGCAGGTCGCGGGAGATGATCTCCTTGGTTTTTATGAGCCA